AGCATATGCAATAACTAACAATTAATCCATGACCAGCTTGCTGCTTTGCTGACCGGAGCAGCTGCTGTGATTCTGCTCTTGGGAAACGAAACCATTCCCAGCTATCCATTGCTTTTTGACAAGTTGTTTTCAACTTATAGGTCAATAAATAAAACTAGTAGCTTCTGCTGAGCTGAAACTCAACGGGAAAAGAACACTGAAAAACAGCTCTCAAAGGCACTGGAAGCCCAAGCACATGCAGCCTTGAGAGCCCCCACTGAAATACCCTGAGCAGCAGGTCTGTATCACACATGCAGACACACTATTGTGGGTATTAAAGAGCCTAAATCTGATTAAAGCTTTTCTATCCCAGCAGTGGTCAATTCCAGAAACCAGCTCACCCAGGAGGCTGAATTCATTTCATCCCCGAAGTCTAATTAAAGCCATTAGTGTATTCCTTGTCTTTCTGATAAGATCAAAGCATTCCAAGAGCCCAGCACTACCTTATTTTCAAGACAATTATACAACATATAGCATCGATTTTTCTGCCTCCAGCTGTACACATTTATCTCTGTCTATCATCGGGTAATCGGTCCCATCAGACACAGCCAAGCCCGGGCTCTCAGCTGACAAGTGCCTGCACTTGCCAGGCCGGGTTTCTTTGTCGCCCTCATCTCAAATTAAGGCCCGAGGCAGTGCCTGGTGTCCAGAGCCCAGTGCCCACAGCCGCGGTGGGACATGGGGCACATCCAGGCTACCGTGCTGGTGTTCAGGTGGCCACGGTGACCTGTGCCACAGCCGTGCTCAGGGTGCCCAGATCACCACAGGGCTGTCCCCGGTCCCCTGCTCCCGCTGCTCCTGCACAGCCACAGCTTGGAGCAGGGCTGTGTGTCTGTCCCTGCCCTGGGGACCCGGTGCTGTCCCTGCCCTGGGGACCCGGTGCTGTCCCTGCCCTGGGGACCCGGTGCTGTCCCAGGCTGCTCCCCCCGGCCCGGCTCTGCCGGGACCCCCGGGCACCGCCGGCTCAGCAGCAGCGGGGGCCGGGGCAGCAGGCCCGGGGTGCTCTCCCCTCACATAAACATCTCTCCAGCAGCTCACGGCCCCTGCAAGAGCCGAGCTGTGAATTTTCATCTCTCAGCTAATCAACTCGCCTGCTAGTCCAAACTTGTCAGGAGCTTTATCCCTGCCCTGCCAGCCTCCTCCCGGCCCACGGGTGACAGAAGACGTTCCCATCCCTCCCCGAGACACATCCAGCTGCTACAAAAACAAACATCCTCCCGCTGGTGATTCCTCCTCGTCAAACAGTGCTGACCCTGGATCCCCCGGGCCCATCCGCGCTGCGCCACGTCCCGAGTCGCCGGCAGGGAAGGGCGATGTTTACGGCGGCGATGGCAGAGCCGTGTTCCTGCCTAAGCCAGGGGTTTATTAATTGCTGGTTCTCCCTGCTCCTCTGTGACAAAAGATTAATCGCCCGGCCAGGGCCGCTCTGGCCGCGAGGCTCCTGCAGACGAGAGGCAGCTGCGGCAGAGCCGGGCTCGCTCTGGAGCCTCTGTCCCCTCGCTGTGTCCGGGAAGGAGCCGCTCCCCCCGCCGGGCTCCTCCAGAACGCTCATCGTGCCCGGGATGCACACCAGGGGATTCCCAGGAACGCCCCGGGAAGCTGCTGTGGGCTGGAGGGAGCACACCGGGACTGGTCCTGCCTCTCCCTCGTGGCCAGGCCGTTCTCTCTGCCTTGGTCTGTTTTGTCACCGTGTTGTTGACAATGAAACAAAATTTTATTTAACAAAATAACAAAACCGCAACTGGAAGCAGGACCGGTGAGATCGGCTCAGGGATGCAGCCCAGCCCAGATCTGTTCCTGCAAACAGTCCACACTCGAGGTGTTCCTCAGATAACAAAGTCCTTCGAACACCTGTAACCTTGTTCCAGAACAATCTTTAGAACTTCTGCGCGCTCGGGGTTGGTGCATTTTTCACTCTCCAATCCGATTGATCCAAACACACTCCTCTGAATGGTTGTTACGATCACACAACCTCCACCGATCAATTCTGAAACTCGACGCTTCATTGCTCAGCCAACGAGGATCCACAACGTTACCTGCAGTTGCGACTGTTCCAGAAAGTTCCACTCCATTCCATCTGTATCACCCCCCCATAGCTGAAAACCAGCCACCACACTTCTCCTGTACACCCGTACACAACAAACAACATCACAACTACAACATCTCTAATTCAACAAATTGCCTTATTCATAAGAGTGTGACCTTGCCTTAAACACCCTGAGTGCTGCACCTGGGCCAAACGTGGCCGTGGGCAGCTGCTCCTCCAGGACACCTTGGAGACCCTGCTCGTCACCCTCCGGTCACCAGGGTTTACTTTGGGTCTGCAGCTGAAGCAGCTCTCAGCCATCAGACACTGAATTCCCATTGCTGGCAGCTGTGGGCGGCCGCGGTGGCCCCGGGCTGGCAGGGCCGGGTGATGGGGCCGGAGCCCCGGGGTTATCAGCAGCGGAATTCGCCGGGCAGGGAAGCGGGGTAAGCAGAGCTCGGCCTCTTGGCATGTTTGCTCGTGCTAAACCTGCAGCACGAGAACTTTTCACAACAACACTCAGCGCTTGAAGCCTTCCTTGGCCGCTTGCACCGGCGGAAGGGAGAGCAGGGCTGGGCTGTGCAAACGAACCGCGCCCGCAGACACGGCGGGCACGATGGCCCGGGGCTTCTGCTCAGGCTGAACACACAGCAAAGCAAAAGAGCTTTCCCCGACACAAATGTAGGTCGCGGCACTTGGGGACAAGCAGCTCCCTGTGCCGGGGGTGCCCGGTGATGGGGCGCCCTGAGCCGGGGGTGTCCCGGGCACGGAGGTGCTGGGGCGGATCTCCCTCCGTGCGGGTCCCTGCCCGGCGGCGGGGCCTCGTTTCCCGTCCCTGCTGCGGCCTCGCACGGAGCGGCCCCGGCCCGTTCCCATTCCCGTTCCCTTTCCCGTTCCCATTCCCGTTCCCATTCCCGTTCCCTTTCCCGTTCCCATTCCCGTTCCCTTTCCCGTTCCCTTTCCCGTTCCCATTCCCGTTCCCCTTCCCGTTCCCATTCCCATTCCCGTTCCTCTTCCCGTTCCCTTTCCCATTCCCGTTCCCGTTCCCATTCCCGTTCCCCTTCCCGTTCCCTCTCCGTTCCCGTTCCCGGGCGCCGGTCGCCCTCCAGCGGCCCCGCTGCGCCGCGCACCGGGCACGGAACGAGCCCTTCCCGGGCTGCAATGAGCATCCCTGCCTGCCCCTGAGCTCCTCGTCCTTCTCCTAGGCTGCCTTGAGCTGTCCTGCCCGGCCCGGGGGCGCCGGGGGCAGGGTGGAGGCACAGCCGCACACCCAGCAGTGCCTGCAGCCCATGTGCAGAGCGTGGCAAACCCCCAGGCACCCCCTTTGCCCCCCACAAACCCCTGGTCCTCTCCTCGCCCCGCACGCGCAGAAGCCGAACTGGCGTGGATGCGTTTCAGGGGGTGAAGGAATGCCTCGTGTCCAAGGAGCTGACTCCCTGTACCCCGCACAGAGCCCTGCAGAGCCCTGTACCCTGCACAGAACCCTGTACCCTGCACAGAGCCCTGCAGAGCCCTGTACCCTGCACAGAGCTCCACAGAGCCCTGTACCCTGCACAGAGCTCCACAGAGCCCTGTACCCTGCACAGAGCTCCACAGAGCCCTGTACCCTGCACAGAGCTCCACAGAGCCCTGTACCCTGCACAGAGCTCCACAGAGCCCTGTACCCTGCACAGAGCTCCACAGAGCCCTGTACCCTGCACAGAGCTCCACAGAGCCCTGTACCCTGCACAGAGCTCCACAGAGCCCTGTACCCTGCACAGAGCTCCACAGAGCCCTGTACCCTGCACAGAGCTCCACAGAGCCCTGTACCCTGCACAGAGCTCCACAGAGCCCTGTACCCTGCACAGAGCTCCACAGAGCCCTGTACCCTGCACAGAGCTCCACAGAGCCCTGTACCCTGCACAGAGCTCCACAGAGCCCTGTCCCCTGCAGAGCCCTGTCCCCTGCCCTGCGAGCGGGCACCGGGACAAGGATCAGGGCTGCCTTCGGCTGTCGCCACTGGCCACGGGCTCCAGCTTCACCCCGGCCGGGGTCACGCCCGAGCTCGGCACACACCGAGCGTGTCGGAGCCACACGGACGTGTTTACCCAAGGGTTTGTCAGCATTCCTCGCTTGGGCAAGGACCTGCCACCGCCGCTGCTATAAAAAGCCAGCAGGGCTGAGCCACAGCACCAGTTCGGCGGTACCGGCACTGGCACGACCTCGGGATTGTCACCGAGCCTGGAGAGATGAGCAAAGAGCTTCTTCCCAGGCTGTTGCAAAACCTGTTCAAAGAAGCGATGTAAAGATAAGAAAATCAGGTCATTGTAAGGTGCATTAGGGAGACTCGGGCGCTGCGGGCTCTGCCCTGCAGAAGGGCAGGGAGGCACCTGCAGCAGCCCCAGCTCTCCAGGCCAGAGAGGTGATGGTTCTGTGCACATGCTGCATCCCAGACAAAGCAGCTTTTCCTGGAGCTAGGCTCTGTTCCCTGCTGTGTCCTGCCACATAATCGAGCTGCTCTCCTCGGCAGCAGAGGGAATTTCAGTGAGGCTGCACATCCCGTTAGAGCCATCGGCAGGGGACCGGGGATATAAAGTGTCATCCGTTCACTATTGTGACACTGTGGCAAAGAGGTGATCTAGGTAAACTGTTTCTACTTAAAAATACCAAAAAGCCAGAGCTGTCTGGAGCACCCAGAGCTGAAGCACAGCTGGCCCAGGGCACCTCCCAACTTCCAGCAGCAGCAGTGAGTGGAGATGGAGGAGCAAAATGCTCTGGCTGCAGCAGCCAGCACTGCTCAGGATCCACTGTACTCCCAAGAATTTCACTTTCTTCTGACACTTCAGAGCTTCCATTAAAGCTCCAGGCTCCAGGTGAGCACAGATGCCCAGATACCAGCAGCAGGACTGTTCCCTGCTGGCCAGCTCCAACTCCAAACATTTCCTTAAGCAATTTGCACATCTTAAAAATAAAATCCTTTATTGATAATATGAATGTTTAACATGTTTAATGCCATCAGCTATAAAAATGATTAAAGACTTCAGCTTGGTACGTTTGGCTTTACAAATTTACAAGTGTTAATGAATTAATACTAGTGTTATATGTTTTGCACTTCATTATACTCCATTAGCCAGTGACAAACTCTGCAACAATGTCTGCTTAGGACACATGTGAGTTAGAGAAGAAATATTTAGTTGCTTCCACACAGAATCTACATCAACAGTTAAATACTAACTCTAAATGTCTTACTGAATTAGTTGGATCCACTTTAATCCCTTGTGCTTAGTTTCTTCCAGAAGTTAGTCTACTAGCAAAAATACATTCTTTTGCATACCCCTTCCCATATTATATTTTAGAAGAAACAGTACTCAGTGCATTTCCTATTAGACTTCATCATAGTATCTCTCTCTCTAGAACTATCGATAAAGAAAGGGGATAATACCAGTCAGATTAATGTAAAAGCAAAGAAACTCATTAAAGCAGTGTATACAAAAGCCTCATTTTTCAATCAGAAGGGATACATGGGCCAAACTCCCTCTGCCCATCCATTTTTACATTTACACTCAGCAAGAGGAAAAAAATCTGCTGTGGACACTTAGCTGAAAAAGTAATAAATGTGCTTCCAAAAGAGTGGCTGCCCATTTAACTCTGGCTGCCTCTGTGTCCCTGCTGTTAACACACACTGTTCCACTGGATTAGGAACAACAGCCCATAGTGCCACTACCCAAAAGGCTTCTAGAAGGTCTGTGCAAACCTGCAAAGCCCTGCCACGGCACAGGGATGTGTCTGGTGAAAATGGCCAGAGGAGAGGCTGGCTCTGGCACTGGGAGCTGAGCTCAGTGCAAACCCCACTCTGCTGCTGTGGGAACGTCCCAGCGCTGGCAGCACCGAGCCCGCTCTCTAAATTTAGATCAGCTCACATCCAACACCCGAGATCATTAACTCGGGGTCGTGCTCCCTGCCTCTGCCACTGATCCTGATCCCAAACACTGTGTTTGTCCTGGACTTCTCAGCACACTGACTCACAAAACAACTGTGCTGGGCCCATTGGTTTTCTTGCAGCAAACATTTCTGCACAGGAATCAACTGCTTCTCCTGGGTACTTCTTCACACACATGATCTGCCTCCAACTTAGGCAATTCCTCACTGAGGAATTTTTTAAATCTCAGTGAATTGCCATGTTTTCTTCATATGAGGCAGAAGATCAAGAAGAGATCAGTATTTCCCCAATACACTGTGTGTTTAGTACGTAGGTGTGATATACTTACACAGATCTACATATTCAATTCCACAGCAGCAACGATTTGGTTCCGTATTTGCAGCCAAGGAAAGCTAGCTATAGCTAGTGGGTAAAATCCAGGTCAGCCAGACTTAACTGACAGAGATGAGGAACAAAATTATTGCTTTTGTTTAAAGTTGGAGACCCCATGTTACAGGTGCTGCAAAAAACCTGTAGTATGGACGAGTTACTTTTTCAAGTAATAGGGAGATCTTTGTCAAGTAACAGAAAGATCTTTTTCTCAGAAGTTCTACACACAACAGTAGAATTCTTGCAGAGCTTGAAAATTCCAGGTGATACACCAGAAACCAGAGTTCAGCCATTTAAAGCACACAGGCATCTTGGCAGGAAAGCAGAAAAACTGTATGGACAAGGAATACTGACAGAGAAGGAGTCTGGATGATATCACAACTAAATCTCACCCCAAGAAACTCATGTGTGCTTCCTCGAATAGCTGGGAGCCACGTCCTGAAGGACGTAGCCTGGCTGGCTGCACCAGTCTGGGGTCAGAATTTGTAGCACATTCGCTAACTTATCTTAGCAAATGGTAAAAATTAAAAGGAAAACCAGTGTTGGTTTTAACATTCAGGACTCAGAAGAATTTGTTTCTGCAGCTAGATGTTCCCCTCCTCACCTTTTCCCGAGAATCACATTCATATTGCAGGCTTAGTTCAGGCACTTTTATAAAATGTTCATCTGGAGTAAAAAGTCTGCAAAAATTATTTCTGCATAATTTAAAAGTAGCATTTCAGTCCCATTAGAGGTTGATAGGTCCCACCACATGATTATGGTTGTTATCTCTAATGATTTGACTGCTGCCAGGAGACATTTGGAGGCTACTGTATAGCTTTAGTTAAGGTTTCTTCATAAACAAAAATATTTTCCTACCTAGTAAAAAGAAAAAAAAAATAATATACTAAATGCTTTATACAGACAGAATCTGCTACTATGGAAATAAATAACATGGAGTGGAAAAACAGTGTCTTAGCTCCAGGGTAAGCTAAGCTGTGGAATGTCACATTCCCATTTTCTGGAGACTAGCTGCTGCTTGGCAGGAGGATCTCCAGGTCTTTGCCATTTGACACGACAGTGCTGTTGGAGCAGCTACTCGCCACGTCCATGGGGGCACCCAGGGAGGAGGCCTGGGAAGAGGTTTTGGTGAGTGGAGCAGCAGCAGCAGGTGACTGAGCGAGGCCGGGTTTCTTTGGAGGAATGGGTGGAGGGTTCCCTCTTTCTGCTCTAGGAATGGTTGGTGACTTAATTCCAGGAGACAACGGGCTTAGCGGGCTGGAAACCTTGGCAGGGCTTGGGGAGTGCCCAGACTCGCTCTTGGGGCTGACAGCATTTGCCAGGTTTCGATAGTCCGTGCCAAAAGGGGAGCTGTTAGGGGAGACAGGCTTGATGGGGCCCTGCTGGCTGGTGAACCTGGACAGCACCTGGGTGACCGTGTTGCGGGCCAGCTGCTTGGCAGCCGAGTTGTCAGCCAGGGTGGGGGACAGATCCCGCGAGGGGGGGCTCTGCAGGCCGCTCGACTGATGGTCCTGCTCCGCCTGGGACTGGAACTTGTGCCGAGCCGCGTGGAAACGCTGGTTGATGCCCACCTGGTAGGAGGACTGGTAGCCAGGGCTGCTGGCAGAGGCTCCCACCAAGCGTTTAGCCAGCACCGGTGAGGAGCAGGGAGAAGGGGTCAGAGAGGAGGCAGCTGTGCTGCTGGGGGACAGGGACACCCCAGCAGAGGGGAGCTGGGACATCAGATGCACCGGTGACTCTGTTCTTACGGGAGAACTTCCATTCTCCACAGTGTTTTCCGGGGCTGCAGCACATTTCTCCCTGTGAACTTGGCTCTCTGCAGCGTTTGTCTCCCCACCCATCTGCCCGTCCGTGTCACAGTGCCCGTTGGATTTTGCATAGGAATGAACAGGTGTGGAGGGGCTGGCAGACACGGGCTGAGCAGCTTTGCTGGTGCTGGCAGCGTTTGCTCGTCCTGCCTGCACACTCTCGGTCTGGCAGGACACAGACTTCACTGGGGGACTGTCAGTTGTGACCCCCCTGGACGTCACTGAGGGGCTGGGATGCACAGCCTCAGAGGGACTGTGCTCCTGGCAAGAAGCCTCCAGCTCTTTCAGGGCTTTCTTCAGACATTCCACCTCTTCTTTGAGTGCTTTTGTACGGTTTTCTTCTCTGTTCAGCTTAGCTTTCAGCTGTTCTCTTTCAATGTCAAACTCTGAGAGCTGCTTTTCTACTTGTGCTTCCATCTGCAAACCCCGCTTCCTCTTGGCTGCCAGCTCCTCTTCCAGTTTACTCACCTTACTCTTCTCCTTTTCCAATTTCAAGCTCAGTTCTGCTGTCTTCTGGCCCTCTTCAGCTGCTTTGGCAGTGGCTTTCTTGCACTCCACAACAAGCATGGAAGACAGTTGCTTGTGGCGTGCTCTTTCTTCCTCCAACTGGCTTGACAGCTTCTTCTGCTCTTTTTCAAACTTCTTCACTTGGGATTTTTCAAACTCCACCTGGAAGTTCAGAATAAAAAAGATTTTAAGGGGGCTGTAAAACCTCCTGAAAGTAAACAAAGGGCAACACCCCAAAAAGGAACAGGTTTACTGTCTATCTTGGAGAAATTACACAGTAAACAATGGCAATGGCTAAGAAATGGGTTATTGCCCCAGAAATCTGCAACACAGTCTGGAACAAGTCAGCTTGCACATAGTTACAATTATTACTGACTAGTAGTTTTATCCTGTATAAAATTCAATTGGCCTTTAGTGAGAGACACACTGAGTCTGCCATGCAGACGGAACAAGCAAAGCTTCCTTCCAGCTCATTTACTACTTTGTCAGTTTGCCTTTTAAAGGCATTCAGGATTTAAAATGCTGACGTGTTATGTATGCTTAACAAAGGCTACAGCACTTGAGTAACAGAAAACAGTGGCTTAAATATTTATTAGCATCTCTGAACAACATCCCCAGGAGATCTTCTGTGACTTACTCTGAATTTTGAGTACTGCAGCATGCTACCAATTGTAAGTGCAGCCAAGTTCCTCAGAATTCCTCGGATTTCAGGCTGAAGTAAGATTTCAAAGCATTTGATTGCCTATTAATGCTTTTAGCACTGCTCAGCTACCAAAACACACTGAGAAACTTGAGGCTGTTTTTCATATCAAGATGACAAAAGCTAGGAATGCCTTACAGGGGGAGGTTCCTGCTACTCTTCCATCACATCCCTGCCGAGCTCCCGGGGCCCCGGGGCTCTGTGGGCTGGTACCTGCTGGGTGAGCCGCTCCCGCTCCTTCTCCAGCATGTAGGTGACATCGTCCCCCTCTGCCGCGTCCTGGGCGTGCCTCTGCCTCTCCTCCTCCAGGTCCAGGATCACCTGCCCAACAAACATCAGCCATTCAACAAGGTCCAGGTGCCCGGCAGGCGGGGAGAGATCGCTCCGGAACGACACGGGAGAGCCACGGCAGCTTCAGACACCCGAGCCCAACTCAGATTACAGAAAGCAGCCTTTGGACAGGTTCAGTGTTTGTAACTATTGGTCACAGTGAGTCGGTTTGTGAAAGACGTTAGGAAAAGCTCACATTGGATCTGTGTGCATTTTATTATTAAATATCTAAATTGCAGGCTTTTCCCCCAGACTGTGCCATATCCTTGAGAGGTCCCCGTTACGAATGGTGCCCTCATTCCAGAACAGCTGGGGCTGGAAGGGATCTCTGGAGCTCATCCAGTCCAACCCCCTTGCCAAGGCCTTGTCCTGGAGTGGGCTGCACAGATCAGTCCAAGAGGGTTCTGAGCATTGGCAGGGAAGGAGAATCCACAACCCCTCCACAGCCTGTTCCAGTGTTCTGTTACCCTCAAAGTAAGTCAGTTTTTCCTCATATTCAGCTGGAAATTCCTGTATTTCAGTTTGTGCTTCTTGTCCCTTGGAACTCAGAATTTCCTGGCAGGACCATTAATCCAAGGCCCAGCAGGAGCAGAGGTGCTGCATCCAGGAGACACAGGGCACTGACAACAGGACAGCCCCTGCTGTGGCTCCAGCAGCAATTCCCACACAGCCTTCTCCCCCTGCCTTACAGGGACTTGAGGACTCCAGTGCAAAGTTTACTTTAAAGAATATTAATTTGTTCTTCCACTTATGAACAAGATGAGCTCTTGAAGTGAAACTGCTTCCCACAAGGACCCAGTGAAGGAGCTCCTTCAGCTTTAACACTGAATTACATGAATAATTGAAATGCTATTAACTCAACAAAAAGCCAGAACACAAACTTCCCACGAGGCTCTGCTGAGTCTCATCACCAAAACTCTCCCAACACACATTCACCATGAGTTTAGCAGCTCCTCAGTCTTCCTGAAATTTAAGCTTCCAAATAATGCTTAAATATCATCAAGTATACAGGAAGCTTTCACAGAAGTAGACAGGAAGAGGAAAAGGTGAAAAAATATCTGATTTTACTGTATGATTTAGTTGGATATTCGGCTGGAAAGCAAAGCATAGCTTTGTTCTTACTTCTAGAGACTTCAATTTTTGTGGTAGTATGGTCTGACACAGGACCAAGCACTTTCCTGGTGTCAATATACATTAAATGTATGTCTGAAGAACAGTAGGTGCCTCATTAAAGAGGCCAAATGTCAAGAAAAATACTTTGGGTCACTCCATATTTCCTTAGGGAAGCACAAGGAGGTGCCTTTCCCTGGCAGCAGCTCTGCAATAACCACAAAGAACCAGTCCCAGGCACAAGAGTGACAGGCCTGCTGAGAATTGTGTCTTCCAGAAACCATTTCTTGCATTTTGGGAAGCATTACACCTCCCAACTGTAAGCTAGTTCCTTTTTGGTGAGTCCTGACAAAAACATCTTCTGTATATAACTAATTAGCTCAGCAGCTGCATCATCTGGAGTGAGAAGTTTAAACAAAGGTGCAAAGTCCTTTCAGTTACCAAACCTCAGGGAACTTAAGTGTTTTTGCTGAAGTTAGCATGTTATTAAAATGCAACTATAACTTCTGCACATCATAATTGAGGCAAAACCTACCTTTCTGTGTCTGCTTTCTGCAGCAGCTAGCTGGGATAACATTCTTTCCTGCATATTCTTGCAGTGTTTCATCACCACTTTCAAAATAGATAAAGGATTGGAGCATACTGGCTGCTTTTCACCATGATTCCCCTCTTTCAGGGTCTCAAAATCTCTCTGCAAAGCCATCAATGGATCACTGATGTTGTATTTCCCATAGCGTTCCTCGATGAATGTGTCCCTGTGCTGGGCCTGCAACACAAAAACAAATCTGCATTTTAATATACTTAAACCAGCTAGAGATGACAGGGTTTTGTAGTTAATGTTCCTTTTCCCCAGTTTCCCATTGAAAAAGAATTTAACACAGTCTCATTCATATCCTGTTATCTGCTAGAAAGAGAGGAAATAAAGAAAAATCTTGCTTAGAAACACAGCAATATATTCAGTCTACAAACATCCTCATACCACAGCTACCTGCCACGGCCATGACTTACATTCCACAGCTGTGTGAAAGGAAAGAAGGTAAGTAGCAACTCTTGCTCAACAAAAGATTTAATCATTTATTGTCGCATCAGTGAAAGAAGCACTTGTGTGGTTTCCTTGACTGTGTCACCATCAAAGAATTTCATGTTGAGCAATTAAAGAGTTTCACTCTTGCAAGAGCCATAAATCTGTGAGTTGTTAATAAAATCTTTAATGTTCTCATCCAGACTAAACAGAGTTTAGTTTCTCAAGGAGCAAGACAGGAATAATGAGGTTTCCTTTGGTGCTTGTAAGAATTAAGACAACTCACACGTACTAGGCTCTACATTTATAGGCTGGACTCAATGAGCTCAGAGGTCTCTTCCAACCCCAATTATTCCATGAATCAGCCATTCCATCTGGAAATGTGTTTGCTAGGATACCCATAGGCTTACCCTATTCAATGATAACTGTAAAGGTCTAGAAACAAAACAAGATCTCATAAACAGACAGATATGAAAGTATTATCTGCATGTTTACCACCAAGATAAGAAATCATGTGAAACCAAATATTTATGCAACAAAAGACACAGGAGGAAAACCAGATCTAGATTCAAAAGAGCCCTCAGACATGTCTTGGCTCAAAGGAATATAATCACTGATTTCCAGTGCAGTGGCACTGGGCTGAACTCTGAGCATTTGTGAGAACCTGAGGCAGCGTTTCATTCCCCTGAGTGTCACTGCCAGCACGACCCCTCGCCCAGCACAGCTGATGCACCTGCCAAGAAATAACACCTGAATATGGAACTTCAGCTGGGTCCCTCTTGATTGGTGCTGTGCTGTGAGGTCTGGTTATTGTGTCAGTCCACAGCTTTGCTTTTCTACAGCAGGAACAACTGCTCTGCTCTGTTCTGTTCTGCTCTGTTCTGCTCTGTTCTGTTCTGCTCTGTTCTGCTCTGCTCTGTTCTGTTCTGCTCCATTCTGTTCTGCTCTGCTCTGTTCTGCTCTGCTCTGTTCTGCTCTGCTCTGTTCTGCTCTGCTCTGTTCTGTTCTGCTCTGTTCTGCTCTGCTCTGCTCCGTTCTGCTCTGCTCTGTTCTGTTCTGCTCTGCTCTGTTCTGCTCTGCTCTGCTCTGCTCTGTTCTGTTCTGTTCTGCTCTGCTCCGTTCTGCTCTGCTCCGTTCTGTTCTGCTCTGTTCTGCTCTATTCTGTTCTGCTCTGCTCTATTCTGCTCCGCTCTGTTCTGCTCTGTTCTGCTCTGCTCTATTCTGTTCTGCTCTGCTCTATTCTGCTCCGCTCTGCTCTGTTCTGTTCTGCTCTGTTCTGCTCTATTCTGTTCTGCTCTGCTCTATTCTGCTCCGCTCTGCTCTGTTCTGTTCTGCTCTGTTCTGCTCTATTCTGTTCTGCTCTGCTCTATTCTGCTCCGCTCTGCTCTGTTCTGTTCTGCTCTGTTCTGCTCTATTCTGTTCTGCTCTGCTCTATTCTGTTCTGCTCTGCTCTGCTCTGTTCTGCTCCGTTCTGCTCTGCTCTGTTCTGCTCTATTCTGTTCTGTTCTGCTCTGCTCTGCTCCATTCTGCTCTGCTCTGTTCTGCTCCGCTCTGTTCTGCTCCGTTCTGCTCCGTTCTGCTGTTCAAGGCGTGTCCTCGGGGAGGCCACAGGGAAAGATGGGGTCTGCTCCTCGGCACGAGTCACCCACACCATTGAAATGCAAGAGTGAGCTCTGGGACCTTTATCAAAGTGTGTTTAATTTAGAACAGACTGTGTGACCTACAGAAGGGTTCTGACCCTAAATGCACTTTTCCTGCCAGAGCACACACGCGACACATTTTCAGCTTGAGCAACTGCTCCCAGCGAACGCAGTCTGCACCTTCTCAGGTGTGCTTCACTCTTCTGCTCCCAGCAGAAGCCATTCCAAGTCAAGCCCAGCAGCTCTCTGGAGCTGGTGGAGGGCTCTGAACGTGAGTCCCTCACAAGCCCAACTCTGCTGATGCTGGGAATGGCATTCAGCTGCACAAAGCTCCCTGCTTTGAATGCAGAGCCAGCCCGTGCCAGCCTCGCTGAGCACTCCCCAGAAACCCTTTCAGAGAACAGGAATGGCAAACTGTCACCCATTTCTTCTGGGATTGCACAAGGACATCATTCAGGCAGGAAAGACAGCCTGACTCAAATGAAAAGACAGCTCAGAAGCCAGTACTTCTTGGAATGTCTTTTGTGATGTCCCAGTATCAAAAAAAAAAAACCACAAATGCTTCACTCAAGAGCAGGAGTGACAGAATTGTGGAACATCCCCACACAGAAGCTGGCAGAGCTACACTGGAACAGTGGGAGTTAAGTAATAAAACTTGGTGTTACTCAAAGAGCTGCTGAGATTTGCTAGTCCCACCTGCATTCTGAAATGCAGCCAAGTCATTAACATGAAATAAACTAAAAAAAAATTAGAAGGAAAAGCGTTTGCATTACCTTGACAAGAGGCATAAAAAAACCCAACCCAGAATACCTTCTCCACAACCAAATTAGAGACATCTGTCCTGTGATTCCAGTTTGGAGCTGGATTTTAACCCTGCAGTAAACAAACACGGAGGAACAGTGCACACTTACAGACACCCCTCCCTCTCTATCAGCAATATCCATCAGGAACTGTGGATACCTTTGATCAGAGCTTCAGAAATTGTTCTAACTTTACACAATAATAAAAAGGAGAGGAAGGAAAAGATCAGCCCTGGAAACGGGAGAGCAGCCCTGGTTTAATGAATCACAGGAAAAACTACAGGTTTGGCTTTTGGCTTTTTTTTTTTTGGGAACAGGGAATCTTCTGTTTTTCTGAAGTATTTATAAAAATGACTCAATGAAAGCTTCATGTAAGTGTGGAGGGAACTTTTAAGTGAGTCAAGCATTAATAAGTCTGTAAATATGAGCTGGGATCTCCATCCAGCTGCTTTGACAAATGAGTTAATCCCACCTCACCCCAGTGCTGGCCATTCTACACAGAAACCCTTCAGAAGGGCACCAGGGCTTCAGCTGTGTGAACACACCTTGTCTTTACAACCAAGTAAGAGCTCCCAAAACTGAGATTAAAGTGATTTTTGCAATACTGAAGGTGAAACAAAAGCCATGTTTTCCTCTGCTCCTCGCAGCACAGGGCTCTGAACTCTGTTGAATTCAGTGGGGTGGTTTATTTCCTGTTTGGGAAAGAACAAGAAGTTCTTCCTTGCTACTTTGAGCAATTAAGTATTTTCCTGAACTAGCATGACAAACAGATGAGACTATCATAACATTAAGAGCTTTCTCAAGTCCAACTAATCTTCTTTAATAGCCAGCAGAGCATAAACATTTAATTAAAGTTGTCTAGACTAGAAAAAACCTTAACCAGGTCCTACACTGACCACACCACGTTTGCAAAAACAAACCCAGTGCTTTGGTGGCCACTGTGCACTTGGAAATGCAAATTGGGATTTTCCAGCCTGTGACACCTCTGTGCTCCAGGTCCCACAGAGCAGCCACCTGGGTCTCCTCCACCACGGAGGGAAATGAAGTCACAGTGCCACGATCTCCAGAGGTTATTTTATACAGGTGTGGAAGTGTCACAGACAGTGACACCTGCCATGGCCTGTGCTCCTCCCTGAGACAGCTCTGCAACTCCTCTGCCACTGGAGACCACGTCCAACTATCTTCAACACTTCTGATTCTGTCCTGTCTGGACTGGATTATACCTTAAATACAGTTGTTCAACTTTCAGAACGGAAGGAACTTGATGATGGAAGAGAAACACTCTATTAGTGAGCCCAAAGTGAAAAAAAACAACCTAGATCTCAGATCCCAGCACAGAAAACACAAATCCACAGAAAATCAAGCTTAAATAAAAATGAAATAAGGTTACAAAATGCAGTGTTAGTTAAGGAGTGGAAAATTTCATCTGAACACCAGGGATCACACACACACCTCCAACATCAGCAAAGGTGCTTTGAAAGAAGATGAAACTCTGTGCAGTTATGTCTTCTAATTTAATAACTCCACCTCAATCATCTCAAACGTGCAAAAATGTCAATTTCCCACAAAAATACTCAAATTCCAGAAGGTCCAATGGACCACTGCTAGTTTGTTTGGGAAGAGATAATTCTGATTTTATGGGGCAAAAGCAGCATCTGACCCAGCTGAAAAGATGTTTCCTGTGCAGGCAGGAAAAGCAAAGGCTTTGCTTTGTTAGGAAAAAGCTGCTGTTTCCTCTTGGGATTTCTAGGCTGTTTTGGGATGAATGTTTCTCATAACCTATTTTTGTATTTTTTTTTTTTTAATAAAACATTTCCTTCTACTGAAACCTTGTTTATGTGACAGAATAATCTCTGTCTTTTCAGTAATCTTTACAACTTGTTTTACTGGAATATCAAACAGGGAATTTCCAAGACCTATTTCGAGTGTTTTTTGGGCATCAAGTAGAGCATTTCTCTTCCCTGTAATTTCAGAGTTAAGGTTTTAACCCTGGTACAAGACAAACACACTCTTAATTAACTATAGCTACTGAGTTTGCACTTCTCCAGTAATAATTTGCACAGAAGTTCCTCCTTCATGTAGCAGAGAGTGGAATAAGCTTTAAATAGCTCCTTACTGCCTTGAACTTCCTTATTAGCTTCTCTCCCCAGAGACAGAAGTTGGGAATAAAGACAGGCTGAGATCACAGCAGGCACTGACAGAGAAGGGAAATGGGGGTGGGGACCATTTGCTTTGCCCAAAAATAAATGTCAAAATGCTGGAGTGGGGTTTCCAGTGTTGCACTAGCTCGAGTTCTGCAGCAATGCCAGGCACAGAGCCACAAGTAAAATGTTCAAATGCAGCATCTGTCTTAATTTCCATCACATACCAAGTGAGCAGAGCTGATAAATGAGAGCTACCCACATTTGCCCAAGTCAGACCTGTTAAAAGCTTTGAAAAGCAGAAGAAGTTCTCAGGAAATGTCAAGCAGCACAAAATTGCAGCTTCCTTCCCTGGGAACTTGTGGGGAAAGGCTGGCTGTGCCTGGCTCCTGGTGCAGGGACTGCACCTTGCTCAGGAGCTGCTCTTTGGTCACCCCAAAACCAGGGAACCCAGCAGTCCCAGAGAGCTGAAATGCAGAGCAGGAGCCCTTCCAGCAGGGAAGCCATTCCCAGCACTCTGCTGCTGCTCAGCACACACCTGGGGACCGTGAAGGTGAGGACAGGCAGTTTTTGAAAGATACTGCCAAGCAGCACTGCTTCAAGCAAGAACTAAACAAAAAATTCCCCCAGCTTGCAAGAAAAGGAATGCCTGCATTCCAGCAGACAGCACCCACGGGAACACTGCTCCATGGAAGCTGCTTTCTAAGTGATGCATAAGCCCAATTTGCCCCATCTGTGAAAGATTTAACAGCAGGAAGGTTTTGCATCACTGAACTCTTCTTTTTATTTAAACAAGAGGTAGACTTAAGTTTTTGAAACTGCACTGTAAATGTCTAAATCCACTAACAAACAACACCTAGTTTTGTACTAATACTGCTTTATAGTGAATCACTGAATTCAGAAGCAAAGAGATGAATACCAGCTCCCAGTCATTAACACAGAATAGTTTCTATTCCAGTGTAAATTGCCCCAGGCCTTATTAACATAAAAGAATAAGCCAGAAAGCTGTTTCCTGTTTTCTAAAAGTAAACAGAACTTCAGTTCTAATGCATGGAAAACTCTCTTTAAAAGAACAGGGGGGAAGGAACAAAGTGCTCTAACACAGCAATAGAGATCCATTTAAATATGGAATTGTTTCCAGTTGTGGTGTGCTATTTCAGAAGGCAAACCTGAGGCTCATGCAACCCTTCCTACACAGCAGTAAGAGTCTAACTCTCAGGATTATGCAACTCTCTGACAGCATCTGGGGTTTTTTGGATGATATAAACACAATTAAAACTACAGGAAAAGGAGCACAATAAGAAGTGAGCTTTAAAATCTGCTCCAAGGAGAACATTGAGATTTATGTAGTGGACAGGAAGCTACTTTCAGGCAAAAAAAAACAAAAACAAAAACACAACACTTTGTTTCGTTTTGTTTTTTCTAAAGAGGTTTTAAAACAGAGGAAGCAAAATGAAGCACTGGGAAAGAATATTTTGACTACAGTCAGCTTGTCAGACAGCAAGGAAGAAAGGGTAAGATCTGGGGAGAGGGGGGTGAAGAGAGGGAGAAAAAAGAAGCGAGTTCAACAAGCAGTGTCTGGAACACCCAGCTCTGCAGCTTGATTTTGACACAGAGAGAAATGGGGCCAGTGCCAGCCAACAAGTGCCTGATACCATGAGGGAGAAGAAAACTATTTTAAGCTTTGTCATCTGCATGCATGGATTCTCTCTGCTAAATGCCAGATGCAAAATGTTTGTCTCTAAGCGTGCAGGAATATCAATTATTGCAGACCGTACTACAAGCAGATGACATGTTTACAAATTAAGGTATTCTTCCTCTGCAAGTGCCTGTCCTTTTCTATAATGTACCAAAGGATTTGACTCCGAAACCAGAGCTCAGAATCATTTAAATCTGAAGAAGAGGTAAAATTAGTCCATGAAGGGAAATGTGCTTTTGTTACTGTGTGGGAAGCAAACAGGCAGATAAAATTCTGATTTCCAACCACTGACATCCACAGTGTTTAACACAACTGCTGGAGAAAATCACTGCTGTGGTTCAGGATTATGCAATCCCCTAAGAAAGTGCAGAGGATTGAACTCCACCTGCTCCCAACATATACCCACATTTAACATAAAACTACGAGTGTTCCAAAGAAACCCAGCAGCTGAGGCAGGACACAGTGCTGGTAACACTTAGGGAACTGAGAGAGCTGTGAGACCACGTCAGACAGTTCCTCTGTGTGTGGGACAACCAGCTCTCCCCAGCCCCTCTCCGTGTGGATTATAACTCAATTTCTCCAATATATGCAAGTCAAACTAAATGCTCTCGAGAGTGCTAATCTTTAATTCAGTTTTAGAAGTTGTTTTTTCTTCAGGGCAGCACTTTTATGGATCAAACTGCGAGTAAACAGACTAGCAAGATTTCCTTTAATTAGTCACACACAAAGTCTTTCAGCCAGCGAGGCACGGTAAAGCTGTTACCACAGTTACTATCAGCAAACAATGAGAAAAACAGTGTAAGGCCAGAATTTCTCCAGCTGTATATTCCAAATAAATGGACAAAGCAAAGCTGGAAGTTCTGTGCAGCTGAACCTTTGCCCAGGCACCAGATGAAGCAGTTACACGAGTTTTCCTTCCACGCATTGAAAGGGCAGCAGGAAGCCAGGCCTGGGCTGCAGCATCACTGAGGACGAGCCTTTGGAGCTGAAGAGCAGCACAGCTGGACACCCACAACACTGACACTGCTGCAGGCACAGCCAGATTCCAGGGGTGCCAGCTCTTCCCTGACATCACTCTCAGGAGACAGCAAGAGCCAGCTTGGATTTGAAGCTTTCACTGCCCTTTCCCACCACCTCCAGCTCTCCTCACAATCCCGAGATGAAACGCTACAGCAGATCCCTGACAGAGCAAGGGGAAAACAGCCCCAACCTCTGATTAGTTCAGTATTTTATACTCCATAATTATCAAGCATAGGTTACAATTTAATTTAATTTCTTCTCAGTTATGAGTCCTTGACAAATTATGTCAAAGGGTATTCTTACTGTATTAATCTCCTCACACAAGAGGGGACTGCAGGTTAAATTTCAACAGGAAAGGAAATTGCTTTACACTACTGGAAGGTAGGCAAAAAAAAGCCTCTGGAATGGAGCTGCTAAATTTCTTCCCATCTGTCTCTGTGCTCCACTGTACACATTTCACACTGAAACACTGAAGGGAGGCTTCTTTTGGTAACACATTCTGACCACACACAGTGAAAAAATGGATCTCAGGACAGAGCAGACACTTGCAAGCGTGTTTCAAAACAGGAAACAAACGTTCCACCTGATCAATAGCTTTGAGAGGGCAACAACATTCCTCCAAAATAAAAGGATTATCTAAATGCAAAAGCAACTAAGAACAATAAGCATCCCGACTGTTCTGGAGAAGGGTTTGCCTCCACTCCCCTAAAAGATGTTTGCAATCAAGCTGGAGAAGCTTTTGCTGGAAAAGCAAGGCCCTGCAGCTCTCAGGCCTGCAAGCTGCCATTCCTCTTTTGAAACAGCTGCAAGTTTTATACATTATGAGCAGTGACAGGTCAGCTTGAAAAAGCCTTCAAGACTCAACCCTGACACAACTAATTTCTTCCCAAACTGACCGCTGCCATCAGTTACACCACTGGTTTTTCCACTTTACTGAGGCTGTGCCAAGCAGGTATCCTTCAAAGAGCAGCAGAATTACACATGGACAATGTAATTTTTAAAATGATTTCCAGGCTCAATATTAACACAGCAAACTGTGCACTCCCCAGTCCAGGTCAGCAGCAGCCAGCTTTCCTGCACCTGCAAGAAGAGGCTCCAGCACCATCCCTGCCTCGTGCCATCACATGCTCCCCCAGCACCACGGCCTCAGCTGCACTGACACGGGCTGAAACCGGCTTTTTGGAGCAGTTCTAGCTGGCATCTGCCTCACTGGAAGGTTACACTAATGCTCGTGCCAGCAAAGGGAAAGAATAAGTAGCTGAGCACTCAGGGCTGCTGCTCTCAGCAGTGCCAGCTTATGGTGGCTTAGCCAACACAAAGCCACGGGTGCTTTTGACTTAGTGTGACGTTACTGCCACTAAAAGACTAATCTGTGATCCCTCTTGGAGAGAAGAGTTTCTGCTTTAAGCAGCCCTCCTTGCTAAAGGAGAGAAAAACCTACAAAGGAATTCTGGTAAACCTTTTACAGAGCAGAAACACATGGTTCTTCATCAGAAAGGGTGAAAGCACACACAAAACACTGTATTTCAATACCAAAATGCTTCTTGCAGCCAGCTTCCAACAATGAATTCCAGGACAAAAATTATATATAGCATTTACTGTGTAATCCTGCTAATATTAAAATGGGATTCTGAAGCAGTAATAAATCTTTACCTCTGAACTTCACTTTGAATACAAGCACTCTGCAGAACTTACAGCAGTACTGCTGTCATGTTTGTTTCTTATCCTGGTACTTAAAACCTACCTTTAAAGCCTCTATGACAAGATCTCTTGCTTCTAATTCTCCCTCAAGAATGCTAAACAGCGTCAGTAGTTCTGGTTTGCTGAGTTTTTCCAGATTCATCCTGAAAACCTGAAAAATAATGAATCCTAGTTTAGTAGGTATTTCTTTGGACATAAAAATCAGTACTCAAAGCTATGACATATAATCTCCATTTAACTTCAGCTCCCAGTTTTTTGGATTGCAAATTGCCCTGAGGGGGGATAATTTTCTCTCCAGCTTCCCAGACCAGTTGTAGAAGATGCATTTGTCACCTTGTCCCAAGGGACAGGAACATATGCACACCCAGATGGTGATGGCAGAACGTGCAGGCTAACAGGACCGGACAATATCCACCAAGAAGCAGCCAAAGTTCACAGGAAAGGGGACAAAGACGGATATTTAAAAGTCCTATTGATTCCATATCTGCCTCACACAGCTGCAAACATCACTGAGGAGCTGTGATGAATGAAGGCCAAACTGGGCCACCCACACGAGCTCAGCTGTGCTGGGAGTGCTGCAGTGCTGGGATACAATTCCTGGGAATGCCATTATCCCACTGATGGAACAGGCCCAAAGCACTTCACAAACATCAATGCCACAGAAAATACACACTTCATTACTATTCTTTCAAACTGTTTCAATATCAGCATCACTTATTAAATATAATTTTACTGCCTACAAAAGAGATCCATCATCTGAACTGCACATACAGAAGCTTTATATTCCCTTGCATTTTTGCTGATACACTTAATGTATCAGCATGCCCACTAATAAGCCTTTTTATTACATTATTTTGTTAAAAATGGAAATCATTTCAGACCAAATCCTTGTCTCTGATGCAAATATACCCACTGATACAGTCTTGTGCTTTGCACAGCCATCAAATACACTTTTCTGAGTCCAAGTCGTGTCCATCTTTCACCACACTTTGTGTCAAGCAGAAAACGCTGCAGCATGAAGAAGCTGCTCGGAGATAACAAACTCCAGTGGCAAGTGATAAAGGGTTAAATCAGCCCCTACTGGAGATGTCTATCCAGCTAAAACATTCAGCTGAAGTCTAGTTTGTCTAAAGTCACTGCTTCTTTACAACTGATTTGCATAACTGTGCCTTGGAGAGTTATACACAAAAGCAAGTTCTGTCTTGTTTGTGCCAGAGCAGCTTTCCAGTCGCTGGGAACAGAAAGTTCTGTAGTCTTCATACAGCAAATCAGAAATCTCTGATTTCTCTGCTAAGCAGGGAAGTGTCTCATCACACACTCAGGTTCCTGCCTCACACAGTGTTTTACATGGAATTCCATAAAGCAGCAATGTTTCTTTCAGGCTCCCCTGGCTCACCCTCCTGCTGGCATGGGCTGCTCAAGGAAACACCAGTGGGAGTGACCACGACTGGCTGCTCCAAACCCAAACTGAACTGGACACCACGGATCTGTCAGCACTGCATTTCTGTTTCCTACTGCAGATCCATTCACATATTCAAGAGGAAAATCCACAAGTGGAACATTTGGGAAATCTGTTCATACTTGTCACTGTGTCAAAAAACCCTGATCAAGATTTGTCACAAAGGCATAATTTAGAAACTCACTGTATTGAATAATCACATTTTTGTGGGCCAGGACAGTGCTGGTCACTCTTCAGCACTGATCACTTCAGGTCAGTCAATGGACCTTGACAGAGATGTCCAGGGTGAGAGCCTGACCACCTCCCTCAGCCCAGACACGGCTGGAGGGTTCTGTCACCATGGGGAGCCTGGATAGCTGAGCCCATGTGGAAGGAGTGTGACCTACAACCTGGTCATCTTAGAAAAATGGGAAGAGAGGGCATAAGAAGCGGCAAAGAAATGCTGAAACATAAAGAAACAGCCACACAGAGTGAGAAAAGACAAAGCCTGGTTCTAGTCTTTGATATTTACCATGTTTGTGCTGGTGCTTTTGTCAAAGCTGCAGCATTTCCTTGGGCAGTCTTTATAACTGGAATATCCAAACATCTGCTTAGGAGATGCACAGCTTGATTTCAAAACCATCTCAGTCCTTGCTCACACTAAATTCACAGGTTTTAAGACAGAACCAATACCAACTTTTATTGCCAGATACCCAGCAAGTCACAGCAGTGTTGGGGCATTATAAACAGGAACGAGAAAGGAGAAGCTTCCTTGGAGATCTTAGAACAAAGTGCATCATGCATTTCTGTTACCCCAGGACAGTAAGTGTTGAACATGGACTTTCAACATGACTGCATCCACGCTTTTCCCTTAAAATGAGATGATGTGGAAATGTGCAGCTACATCTCCCCAAGAGCTACCAAACAGCTCAGTCTTATAGCAAGGACAGCTACCAGCTGCAGTTTGGGATTTTAAAGCTATTAGTCAGGGCAGCAATAATTTCTACTCTATATTCTAACTACTCCCATTGTGACTCGTACTTCCCAGTGTTATAGGAATAAGCCATGCTATTCTTACCACGCCTCTGTGGTCTTTAATGCGCTTAATAACACAAAGAAGCCCTGTCCTAAAACATACACGTAAAAATACTTAAGAGAAATAAAGAGCAGGAGCCAGTTTGCACAGCAATCATTTATCCAACAACAAGAGGTAACATTAAAGGTACAGAAGTGGTACAGATTTACCTTCCTCATGTGCAACCAGCTGCAAGAGAAGATCTCTCCCTGCTTTGTTTGCACCAGTTACTCCTGAGTAGCAGTTACACTGCTGAGGGAACAGACTGGGAGCAGATGCAACAAAGTCACTGCTCCAAAAAACCCACCCAAATGTACCTGTATTCCCCAGAGATCTGCAGGCAACTTTTCGAGCACCCCAGGCAGATGTGTGTTATGCTGAACAGATAACAATCCCAAGCATTCCCTTTAAGGGACACTGCACTTGGGAACCGAAAACTGGGAGGAAAAAGAAGCCAAATTCATTTGATGTTATTATTTTACAGGAATAAGAAGCATCTCTGGATCAAAGAGCCAATAAGCATGTATTTGATCTCCTTTTCCCCTATCCAAATCTCAATCCAAATCCATTCCCAGCCCTCCAGGCTCCTGAGCTGACCTTTCCAGGGCTGCTTTCAAGCTACACATCCCTATGCCTTCCCTCAGCCCACTTTTTATTAAAAGATCACACCAACTCTATTAAATTACCCAGTTCTCCCCCTTGCAAACAGTCCCATTCTACCAAAGGGATCTGGGCTCTTCTGCTGAGGAACCCGACCCTGTTTCCAAACCTTTAACCAAGAGACAGAAACAAGATCCAGCAATTCCCAGGGCACTTTACCCCTTTTACATCCAGGGAAATACACTGAGCGCACTCACACAGATCACAAACCACAAAGACCCTGTTGTTTAGTCTGATGGTATAAATATTTTCCCCAAGTCTGAGATACACCACCATTTTTGGACAATAAGCCAGAGTTTAGAGCACAAACAAAGAAAATCACTTTCTGCTTGCTTAAAGGTGAGCTTTCAGCTAAGGACTGGAGTCTCCTCAGCAGACCCATACCCACACCCCAAGGAGATGAAACTTTTCTAAGGAAGTTATTTCCCAGTATTTAACTGGAAATAACCATCAAGAGCAGTTTAAGTGTACGTAGAACCATGCAGCCAGCAGACCAGGGGGAGTTATCTCTGGCATGTGCCACTTGAGGAACACAACAGATAAGCTTGCAGCCCATGGCAGCTCCTCCACACCCTCAATCAGGGCGTGATGATTATGAAACCATGCCAGGTTACATTTCACTGGTCACACTCACAGGGGCACAAACCGACTGAAAGAATGCTGCCAGCACAGGAGAACCTCACCCACCCACTGCAGCGAGCCTTGGAGTCAGGGGCAGGAGCCAAAGAAGAGCGGAAGGCACAGCCCGAGGCATGGGGAGCACAGCTTGTCAAGTGGAAGCTTCAAGATCCTCTGCAAGCCCCTGGCTCAAAACTCTTCTACATTTTTTAAAAACCATCATGAGGAACAAAGCTTGCCGTTCCTTCTTCCTCTGAAAGAGGGTATTTCCTAAACCTACACCAATGCAACAATGGCCCTATGACAATAATCCTGAATCAGCCCAATTTTCTTTCCTGTGTTCCTGAAGAGGAACTGATATTTTCCAGGAGCCAGCACGGGCAGTCGTGTAATCGCAATCACGGGAGAACCTAAATGACCAGTTTGAGAAGTCCTGACAGACGAGTTCCTAAAGCTGTTTCTGCGTGTATCGGGTGGTGTTTGAGTTGTTTCACTAATTACATATGTTTATGTAATGAAAAACAGCTAACATACACTTAATAATTGTGTATCCACAATGCAACCTGGCACTGCATCAGAACTGCGGAGAACTAGGTTAAAATCACAAGTGTTTATATTTCCTTCACCTTTGTATCTCAGCCCTAAAGAAGAAAAGGCATTACCCACAAAAAAACCCCAAAACATCTTCACCCCATTGGTTTTTGAAGTAATACTCAGAAGAAAGCAAATTAGCAAAATTCTGAGCATGGATTTTGTGGGGGTTCTTGAAGCCCCTGTGCAGCAACTGGAGCTCCTTGAGAGAGAAGCGAAAGCATCGCTGGCTGCTCCGACCTTCAGCCTCGCCCCTCCTGGCACCCGCTCGCTGCTGCCCCTGCCCCGGCTGGGCCGAGCACGGCGGGTCAGCCCGGGACACGGCCGGCGGCTCGGTGTCGGTGTCGGGGTGGCGGGGCCGGGCTCGGCGGCTCCCGAGCGGCACCGGCCCGAAACAACCGCGGCGAACAAAGGGAGACGGCGCAGCGGAGCCCGCGGGGAGCAACAACCGGCTCCACCGGGCCCGGCTGCACCGCGCAGATCCCGGTAACGCCCCCCGGCCTCCGCGCCCCCCGCTCTCCCCGCTCGCCGCCGATCTCACCCCTCCCCGCCGCCTGCGGCCGCCCTAGTCCCGACTGCAGCCGCCCCCGCCCGCAGCGGGGTTCGGCCCCGCCGCCGCCCCTCGCAGCCCCCGCGGGCCGGGCCGCCCCGCACCTGCCTCTGCCCGCCCGCGGGGGCAGCGCCGCGCCAGGACGGGCCGGAGCGCGCCGGGCCGGAGCGAGCCGAGAGCGGGACCCGCCGCACCGACCTGCCCTGCCCCGCGCCGCCGCCGCCGCCGCCACCGCCACCGCTCCGCTCCCCATCGGCCGCCCCGCCCCGCCCCGCCCCGCCCGCTGACCGACAGCGCGCCCGCCAATCAGCGCCGCCGCCGCGGCGGGCGCTGCCCAATCAGCACAGGACAGGGCGGGGCGGGGGCGGGCACAGCCAATGAGCCGGCGCGGGGGGCGGGGCCGCGGTGAAAATCCCTTTTGTTCGCGGCGGAGCGAGCGGGCGGCGGTGATTGGTGCGTCACTTCCGGCGAGGCGGGGCTGAGGCAGCGCCCGGGCCGCCGCCCCCGGCCCCTGCCTGTGTCCCGGTCCCGGTCCCGGTCCCGTCCGGATCCCAGGGCCGGTCCCTGTCCCGGTGCCAGGGCCGGGCTGGAGGAATCTGGGGCAGCTGAATGCCCTTGGCGGCCGTGGCAGAGCTGCGCCCTCACAGCGGTTCTGAGCCCTGGCCCCTCCTCATTCCGGGACGTTCCCTCTCCCCCAGCACCTCCGGGTCCTGCTCCCCGCATGGCGCCTGAACTTGGCCTCACTCTCGGCTCCGGTGCTTTGCCCAAGGGTGTCCGTGATATCTGTGTGTTCTGTGTGCTGCAGCCCTCCAGCAGCGCTGCTTTGCAGTGACTCCACTGGGCCCTCACTCACCCGAGCCCTCACTCACCTGAGCCCTCACTCACCCGAGCCCTCACTCACCCGAGCCCTCACTCACCTGAGCCCTCACTCACCCGAGCCCTCACTCACCCGAGCCCTCACTCACCTGAGCCCTCACTCACCCGAGCCCTCACTCACCCGAGCCCTCACTCACCTGAGCCCTCACTCACCCGAGCTCTCACTCACCTGAGCCCTCACTCACCCTCACTGCCGGGCTCAGCTTCCCTCTGCTGAGCGTTCCCAGGGGCCGAGCAACAGGGGCTGTGCAAAAATCAGCGTTTCGGTTTATTTACCTGCTGTCGGCTGAGGAAAGAGTGCTGAACATGCTGGAGAGGGCTGCTGGAGTGAACGCCGCCCGTGGGTGCCTCAGCCATGGGCTCACACGCGGGGACACTGTTGAGGGCAGCAGGTTTTTGCTGCCGGAGCTGCTTACCCAGCACTGTGCTAAGCCAGCGGGACAGAGGAATGGGAACAAACCCTTTCTGTGGAGAACGTGGCCAATCGTTCCGCCTCTGAGCTTTCCATGAGATGTGCTTGGCGTTGCTAACACGCTGATCTGGAGAGCTGCAAACAGTTTAATGGCTTTTCCCACTATTGGGAGCTGCACCAGAGGAGGTTTGGTTTGAACATTAGGAAGAAATTCTCCCCAGAAAGGGTGATTACCCATTGGAATGGGCTGCCCAGGGAGCTGGTGGGTCGCTGTCCCTGGGGTGTTTAAGGAAAGACTGGGCATGGCACTCGGTGCTCTGCTCTGGTTGACAGTGTTCGGTCACAGCCTGGACTCGATGATCTCACAGGTCTTTTCCAGCCCAACTGATTCTGTGATTCTGTGTGTGTGACAGCAGGATCACACAGCACAGGGCCTGTGACACATGACAAGAAACCATCAGTGTCACTGCAAAAAGGTCTCACATGGTGACAGTGACACGATGTCACTTTACACAACAACAATGCCACTTCGAACCATCACGGTCTCACGTCTAGTACGTTCAGAAGATGGTTTTGTCTAGACAGGGTTGTCTGAGTGTTATTTCCCAGCCTTGATAAGTACTGGGAGTTTTGCAGAGCCTCTGGTCACGAAGACTCAGAGCCCATAAGGGACAAAACTCCCATGGATTGTCTCTCCTGAGCTGTGCCAGGCTGGAAGTGCCCCTGTGGCATTGCCAAACACCTGGTATATTAATTGTGATTACCTTGTGCTTCCCCTGTCTCTGCTTTTCACCCATTGTCTCTTCTTTAATCCTTGAAATAAAATTTTAGGGCAGACATCCCTTAATGATGCACATGAAAAATGTTGTCAGCTCATATCACAGACTTGTCTTTGCTTCCTACACACCATTTTCACCCCTCGGACCTGGGGCTGAAGCCCTTGGCAGAGCAGGGATGGGCTGGAGAGGGGGCAAGAGGAGGGGGATGCTCCAAGAAGGCCGGGAATGTCAGGGAGGAGGAGGATGTTGGCACAGGGCTGTCTCAGGAGGGTGCTCACTCTGAGCTCGCGCTGTCTGCGGCTGCAGAAAAGGGGAAGGGGGCTCGTGGAGTGCCACAGATGGAGGAAATTGGGGGGAAAAAAAGCTGACTTAACTCACCACATCCTGAGCGCAGGACGCGCAGCCTGCCACGGGATCTGCGAGCTGGCACAGCATGTCAGCTTCTGGAAAAAACGGGCTTTAGGGGGAAAAGGGTGGAGGGACAGAGATCCACACTGAGTGGGGACAGTCAGCAGGGGTGAGCACCCGCTCTCAGATCCATCATTCCCGTTCCCAGAACACACGGAGCGTCCTCACCACCTGCACTTGTGCCTTGGCTGGAAGGGCTCCGTCGTGGTGTGCAGTCTGAGGCAGCGGTGCTGCCAGCTGTGCCCGGTGCTGTGCCCAGTGGGTGTGTCCAGCTGTGCCCAGCTGTGTGTCCAGCTGTGCCCAGTGCTGTGCCCAGTGGTGCTGCCAGCTGTGCCCAGCGATGTGCCCAGTGCTGTGCCCAGCGGTGTCCAGCTGTGCCCAGCTGTGCCCCGCGGTCCCGCGGCCGCCGCTCCGGTACCGTCGGCGGGGCTGTCGCGCCCCCGCGCGTCCGCAGCGCCGCTGCTCAGAGCCTCGGGAGCGGCTGCGCTGGGGTTCCACAAAACGCGCCCGAAACGTTCACATCTCAAAATAGCAGGGGAGGGGTTGTATTTCCTTGCATTTCCAGGCTGGCACGGACCATCGGCGGCATCATCTGCTTGCTGCAAACATTCCTGATGCTGCCCAGTCCCACTCCTGGAAACGCAGGAGAAAGGAGACCTTTGTGCAGAAAGAGCTCTGCGTGAGGCTGAGTGACGAGTGATGAATTGAGCCTGGAAAGGTCATGGATGCATGAGTTACATCAGGGAACATCTGGCACCAAAAGCTTCTCTGTTCTGGGGCTTGGTGAGGACACTCGATGAACCCAGAGCAAATATCTGAAGGGACTAAGAGTCCTAAACCTCCTAGGTGGTCTCAGGGGTGGCAAATAAACAGCTGCAACCTTGAAAATCAGTGCAATTGAGAGGAAAAAAGAAGTTTCATAGCTGAGTCCATACAGAAAAAATCTATTAAAGAATATATTCAGTTGGCCACCGGTCTGCAATTGAGGGGGTGATAAATCGTCTGCAGAGGAGAAGGAGGCTTTCTGGCTCTGGAAGACCTCTCTCTCCAGGCTGTTTGGTCACTTTATACTTTTCATTTTTTAACATTCACTAGAGGTACCGGCACAGGCTGCCCAGAGCAGCTGTGGCTGCCCCTGCATCCCTGGAAATGTTCAAGGCCAGGTTGGACGGGCTGGGAGCAGCCTGGGATGTGGAAAGTGCCCCTGCCCATGGCAGGGAGTGGAAAGAGATGAGCTTTGGTGGCCCTTGCAGTCCAGGCCAGTCTGTGATTGCCAGGTGTCTCAGATACAGGCAGGAATATCAGGCACCCTGGGAGTGTGCAGGGTGGATTTCTGGGGGAAGGAAACCACAGAGACGTGCCAAGGAGAGGGCAGGTGCAGATGGCTCCGGTACCTGCGCACAGACGAGGTTCTGGCTCTCTGTGTCTCGAATGGAAGCTGTGGCACGAGTCCAGGGAAGAGCGAGGGGCTGGTGGGGCTGCAGGTCCTGTGGGATGGAGCAGGAGGTCTCAGCTCCCTGGGAAGCCAAAGGAGGAACCAGGATGGGTCTCCTCACTGGGCAGGCTCGTGTCCTGGTGAGCATCAACCCCCAGGGAATTCCCAGGAGGGAACAAAGTGGTAAGAGAGGGATTTCTCCTGAAGTATCACATGCAAGAGAGATAAGCCATAAACACAAACAATTAGGAAGAAGCACATCTGTCATGTTCTTGATGCTGTCGGAATGAGAATCCATCTGGGAAAAGAGCCAGCCCTGCCTCCCTGGGAATTATGTATTTTTTCTTTTTAAATATTGTATGACATCCATCTCTAGAGCTGTGTGTTGTTTGTGCTGGCATGTGGGTGTGTATTTCTGAAGGCTCCCCCTATTAACACAAGATCTATAGTCTCATTTTAGAAAATTTGTGGCTATAAAAACATATTCTGGGTTTGACTGAGTGTTTTTTCCTTCCCTTCTGAAACTCTGGAGCTGTGTAAAATAGCTTCATAAAACTTGTAGTGCTTTTTAAAGTCGAAGTTACTGCCTTGTCTTGCTTTTCAAAATGCACTCTTGATTTTAAGTGTTGGGATATCGTTTGCTTTTAAACTAGTGAATGCTGAAAAGATGCTCTAAATTCCTTCTTTATTTTGTTGCTTACTGAGAAAAATCCAATTATACCAAAGGGAAATGGGAATACAACATTTCATAAAAATATATGGTATATAAGCAAAAAAAACCCCTCAGTCTTCCAAAACGAGTGTGCAAAAGAAGGGTGGAATTCTTTCAGCATAATCCCTTGAGTAAATCCCCTCTCTTGGGAACACAGTGATACCCAAGGGAGCAGGAGCCCCTCCTCAGCCCCACGAAGTCCTTTCCCTGCTGTTGGTTGCCCAGGGCCATGGGAGCCCTGGATCCCGGCCCCTGGAGGGAAGCCAGAGCTGCCCTTGCCCAGGACTGGAAGTGAGGGAAGCACAAAGCCCCCGTGGGCTCTGCCCAGGAGCTCCTGCAGCCGCTCCCAGCCTGCGGGAAAAGGCACCGGGCTCAGCAGGAAAGGGACTCTCAGTGCTGGAAGCCAGGCTCTGGATTCTCACAGCCCTTCCTTCCAGTGACTTTGTCAAGTGCTGCAGAGAGAGTATTCCAGCAGCCAAGAAGCAGCTCCAGTTCAAAGGGTTTGGGGAAACCCTTTTTCCAATCAGGCAATT